ACTTTCATTAAGTAAATCCTTTTACTAAATACATCTGTCCTACAGGTTTCATCAACAATTACATATATATTGCACGCACCAGTGAGGATGACCATGTCTGCTAAAAGTCACAGTTGAACTCAAAGCACAGTATAATATTTGTGCCACCTTTGCTATTAAAATACTTTGTATGATTTTATCACAAGGAAAAAAAAACAGTGTTTCATGTTATACTACTGGCACTCAAATAACTGAGTCACAAAAAAAAGAGAAATTAACTTTTGTTTTATTTGCTCTGCCACTTCAGAAAGTTTTGGTTGTTTTTGTTTGTTTCAGTGAAGATGGCTAGGAAGAATCAAAATTTACCTTACATCATTGTCCACCAAAAGGATCTGAAATCTGTTGACTACTAAAGATTCCACCAGAATTACATCCACCCACAAATTCGGTCTTCTAAAGCCTTCTCTTGGTCCTGGTGAGAAAAAGGCTTCTCCTGGTTTTGAAAGCAAAACAATCTCCAGTTTTTAACTTAAGAACAAATTAAAGAAACATCAGTGACCTTCAACCACTATTTAAGAAAGGATAAATTTTACTTTGCTTTTCTCTAAGAAGCATTTGGTTACATCTCCCAACCAGATATCCCTGAGGGACTTCTAAAACATGAGCCAATCATGTTCTTCAGCTGAACCTCCTTCTACAGAAAAGGCAGCTTTCTATCTTATAATATTTACATCATATTCTAGAGCTGTGGAGAGTGCCAGTCAATGAATTCTTTATATTTTCTGTCCCTAGGAGTCCCTTCCCTCCAACTCACTACTCCCTTGCCATTCATACCTAAAAGCAAGACTTAGCTCAGCGACAGAGCCTTATGCTACCATGGAAAGGGCTCTAACTCCTTTAAGAAAGGCCTGTATGAGCAAGCAAGGTCTATGCAACAAAGACAAACCTACTTCAAATTACCAACAAACAGGGATACTGTAAGAGTACTTGTATGACATATCAAAAAATCTTGAATACTTCTAATGTGTCTGCAACAGTGAAGCTGAGTGTTACAGCACTAAAGCCACAGCAACCTCTGTCCTTCCCCAAGCAAGAGACATAGCAGCCGAGGCACAGGGGTTTATTTCTTCTCCTAGAATAGCTGCATTAAGGGCTCTCACCAGGTCAGCTGTGCTATTGAGGGATCACACCTCTTCCTAACCTTGACTGCCACAGCTGTGACGACAATACAGTACTGTGTACTAATTCAGGACTAACCTCAGAAACCAAATATACACTTCGCCATCTAAAACTGTCTGCTTGCTCCTGGCGTTTTCAAAATTTGGCCAAATGAAACACAGCCAATTTCTAATTTCCCTTCCAGATTGTTGTATTTACTCATAAAGTGCTTTCTTATTTAGACTTGATTTTTTCTAAAAATACTTGGTTTGAAATAAGTTAAACACATACATGGTAAAAGAGTTGTTTTATGCAGTTGGGAAGGTTTGCTTTAGGAACCTCCATTCTCTGGCTCCTTTGAAATAAACTAAAAAAGAAAAACTTTCATGTCCACTTAAGCATATCAAAAAGATATAAACACATCAATAAGTTAGATGCAAATTGAATTCTGAAGCCATCTTCTTTGGAGAAAGCCCTTTCAAAATTAAGTGATGCTAATTATTATGCTAGGACAGCAGCAATAAACTACAAAATAGGCTAGCAGACAACTTTACTGCCTGATTACCAAGAATGTTATTTGTGTGTATCTCTAACGAATCATCTTAATTTTATTTCAGATTTTCTTTACAACAAGATAACACACAAAAGACTAAGTTGGTAGGCATGAAGCAGAATCACATGAAGATTTTTAGCAAACCTTAGATACAAGGTTTGGGAAATCTTCCTGCTTAAGTTTATTTACTATGATAAAACAGTCAAAATGTTTATTCAGGGCTAGACTGAAAAATGTAAAATGCAAAATTCAGAAGCAAATGGTGCCATTTTACCACTGCTGAACTGAAATTTATACGTCTGTCTAATCAAGTCCCGCATTCTTTGTTGATAGTAATATTTTAGGTTACAAGTAGGGCTGTTAGAACTGATATATAATAAAATGTATTTTGTCCAATAACTGCACTTTTCCATAGTTCAACAGTAAACATTTACAGAGTTTCCATTACTCATACTGCAAAGACTCTAAGTTCACATTTATACAGTCACTAAATATGCACTTATATAAACTTAATTCTAAGTTTTCATTAATGCTACATATTCAGCTGTATTATATGCAACCAATTCCATTCTCCCAATATTCCATTCTCTACCCAACATAACTCACTCTAGAGTGGAATTGCCTTTAATAGTCACACCTTTCTCCTTCACTAGGAATATCCTGTCAGCAAGACCTAGTCTTAATGACACAGCTACCTACCCAAATTACACAAGAATTTTCCTACAGCAGGAATCTACCCAAGTCCTCCACAACTCCTTTACCAAAGGAGATGTCAAAGGAGTTTTGTCAAAACAAAACTGACATCTTTCATATCATCAGTTTCCACTACTATTTTTGCACAGAATTTTCAGCAGTAGGTACAGTATTTGTTTGAAATGCATTTCAGGGTTCCAGAAAAAGCAGTCAATACTTAAGTTGCATTCATGCATATTTTCTTTTTATTTACTGACCCTTGCCAACATTACTCAATGCCCTCCCCTTTGAAGACACACAAAAAGTTACTTTTTTTCTTTCACAACTACTCACTGAGGCCTATTCCATTGCTGAAAGCAAGCAAAGTCCTCGCTGTGTGTCTGGCTCCTAGAGAAGATTCCATTTTTTATTTATTGCCCCTTGGCTTTATTTTCACAGTGAATTCCTGGCTTAAATGCAATCAGCCAAGAAACCCTCCCTATGTGCACTCCTGTCATTCCTAATCGCTTGCAAACAGAATCAAGTGCAAGCAAAAGGGAAAAAAAAAATCTCAGCACTGCCAACTGAACTACAAAAACCCTACTTCTGGTTTTGCCAGTCCTGAGGAACCACAGATGTACCTCAGACTCCTTGAAAAAGAAAGTAAAATCTTGCAAAATTTAAAAGAAAGTTAAAAAATTAAATAAATAAATAAATAAATAAAATAAGTCCCCCTAAGCAGAAGAGAAGGGCACTGAGCCTAAGAGCAGGGTCACATCTTCCCTTCCCGGAAAAGAAAACCTGATGGCACATTTGCAAGGTGCTCGCCAAGCCAAACCCGCAGCAGCAGCACCGAGATTTTAGGGGAGCGTGAAGGAGGGAATCCCGACGCCCCACACACGCACAAACACACACACCGAGCCGCCTCCGTCAACAAAAGGCGAGCAGCAGTGTCTTTTGTCTTCCCCTTTTAAGGGGAGGAGGAGGGGAAACGACAGAAAACTGAGAGGAGGGGAAACAAAAAGGGGAAAAAAAAAACACACACAAAAAAAACCCAAAAACACCCACACACGCAAATAAACATGAAAATGAGAACAAAGTGGCCGGGTCGCACAAAGAGCATCACCACCGGCGGAGGGGACTATTTGCCGGGGGCGGCTCCTCTTTCATTCATGGAATGGAAGGGGAGCCGCTCCCGGCAGACAGCTCCCCAAAAGTGGGGGAATACCCCCCACCTCTGCAGCCCTTTAAACACTGGCAGGGAGGAGTTAACCACAGAAGCCCGCAGCGGGTGAAGAACAGCGGCAGGCGGCTGGGCTGGGGGTAAGGAAGAGGAGGGGGGTATTGTTCCAGTAGGAGGAAAAGCTTCGCTTTCCCTCACCTTGTCACGAAGCCGCTCATCCTAAAGCAACCCCCCCCAGCCATACCACCCCCGGCGGGGCGAATCGCGCCCCCTCCCTCCGGCTCGTCGCCGCTGCCCTAGAAATGCCTTTGTTCGCGGATCCCCCCTGCACGCCCACTGCCGGGGTCTCGCACTGCTTTTATGTCTTTATTTTGGACGGCGGCGCATCCCGCCCCACCTCCTTCCCCCGCCGGCCGCCCTTCTGCTGATTCATTTCCACCGGCGGTCCCCCTCGGGATGGGGGGGCGGCATCTCCTCGTTATTGTGGCTCGAGGAAAAGCGATGACCCGGATTACCGGGGGTGGACGCCGGTAGGGGGGCAGAACCAAACGGGATTACACAGACTGGATTACCGGGAGCGGTGCGGGGCTGCGAGTTAAAGGGACAGGCGGGAGCCGTGTCCGTGTCACGGCGGCAGGGAGCCACTGCGCGTCCCGGGCACGAGGGGGAGGAGACCGGCGGAGGAAGTTGCCCGGCCCACGGTAGAGCCGGGGAGTGAAGGGTTCGCATGGGCCGGGCCGCAGGCGGTGTGCTGCAGCGGAGAAAGAGGGACGGCAAGCGGGTGACACGCAGGGGGAGACCCGCAGCCCCGAGCGGTGGCGGCCTGGCCGCGGAGCAGACCCGGCCGGTGACTCACCGACTTGAAGGACGTTATCGACGCAGCCGCCGTCGAGCAAAGCGATGCCCCTGCGGAAGGGCAGCCGGTTCTCGTCGGCGGCAGCGGCGGCGGCGTCCATGGCCCCGCCAGGCGCGGCGGCGCCCCCAGGACCGGCGGCAGGATCCTCGGCGCCGGTGTTGAACGAGGAGTACATACAGATCTCCCTCTCGCTGCGGGGGAAGGACCAGTACACGATCCTGCGCTGCACCGGTTCCGGGATCCGCTCGAACCGCTCCTCTACCCGCTGAAAGGGCCACTTCTCCGCCACCTTGCGAGCCGCAATGTCCAGCAGGGACTCGGGGCTCTGGGTCTTGCCGAGCGGCAGCAGCCCCAGGGCGGCGGCGGCAGCTGCGGAGGAGGGTCCGGCACAGAGCGCGCCCCCGCCGGGCCCGGAGCTGCCCGCCCGCTGCCCCGGCCTGCAGCCCGAGCCATAGCCGGGTCTGCAGCAGAGGCGCTTGGCGGGGTGGGGGAGCTGACCGCGCTCCGCCATGATCGCGCCGCTTCTAAGCCGACAGCGGAAGTGGCTGTACCCTATAAACGGCTCCAGGAAGGCAGCGAGGGCCCACGAGCCCCCGGGGACACGCCCCCCTCTGCCCTTATGTGGCGAAGAGGGCGGGGCCTCGTGGCCTCGCGGGCCGCGGGGGGCGGAGCCTTACGCAAATCGGCGTCACAACGTAAATAGAACGGCGGGTGGGGGAAATGGGAAGGGGTGGCGCGCGCTCCCCCCCTCCGCCTTCCCAGCCTCTCCTCCCGTTGATGTCACGCGCGCAAGCCCGGGCGCGCCCTCGCGCGTGGTGGGAAAGGGAGGCGCGGCCGGCGGCGCCCCCCGCTCTGCCGCCATATAGGGAATGGAATGCGGGGGCGGGGCGCCGCCGCGGCTGAACCCGGTCACCCCTGCCGGGAACGCCGGCGGGGCGGGCCGGGGCGGGCCGGGCGGCGCCGCGCCGCGCCTCGCGGTGGGAAGTACTGTAGCGGCTGCGGCCGCGCCGGCGAGATGGGCCTGCGTCCTCCCTGAGAGGCGGGCTGCAACAGGTGAAGCCCTTTCCGCCCTGGAGCAGGAGCCCCGATGCGTGCTTATAACAGGGTCTTGAGCTACACGAGTGAGGCGCGCTCCAGGATGTGTTGGTGTTGAGTTTTGTGGGGAGTTTCATTTTCCTTCTATTAGCGGTGGTACGCTAAAGGCCGTCATCCCGGTGCCAGCAGCCGGTTGGCTCTGCAGATGTCAGGGCTTGGAAGCGCTACGGGAGAGCCCAGGCTCGGGGCAGGGCGGCACGGACCCGCAATGTGTCATTTGGACGCGATGAAGGCACCGTGTTTGCCCAGGTGGGTCGTGAGGATGTGGTGGCACAGCGGAGGGTCATGGTGTTTTCGGTGATCTTTAAAAACCGTGCCGTTCGGGTCTGTGGCGGCGCCTCAAATATATGTATAGATATAGACATATGCTGAGGGTCCCGCGATGCTGCGTGGCGGAGCGCTGCTCCCGCCGCCGCTCCTGGAACGCCGGCTGCTGGGAAGTGCCGCCCGGCAGGGATCGAGCAAGCGCGGACCACAGCGCCTTTCTGCGCAGAGAGGCTGTGGGCTGGGTGTCCTTGCAGAGCGACTTCGCTTGACTTCTGTTCCACTAATTAAACTTTAAAATAAACATTTTTGGTATTTTGGAATTTTATTTCGGGAATGGGATTACGCTTTGATGTTTCATGGTAGAGCAGTCGCCATTTTTTATTAACCAAATTTAAAACCAATTTTTTTTTTCACTAATTAAATATTTCGGAACTATATCTTGTAAGAGGCATTTTTTGGCGGCTTGCCGTTGAAAACAGCACTTACTCGCATGCCATGCCCTGCAGAAGCCGTAATTGGAGCGGCTTCTCTCCGGCAGGCTGGTTTTCCCAGACAGACTACATTTTCCATGATGCAGCGCATGCCGCCCCCAGCGGGGAGGCGGTTCCGCCAGGGAATGCGGAGGAATGTCAAGCGTGCCAGGCATAAAGTCTAAGAGGTGCAAACAACATCGCCGTGGCTCGAAACTTTGTCGTCTCCTTTTTGTTTGCATCAACTTCCCGCCTTCCACCTCCGGCTGGAACAGGAGTTTATTTTGTAGTCAAGCGATTGAAAAGCTTTGCAGAAACTGCATTTTCCGTTAAAAGTGTGGTGGAAATTGAATGAAATTTAGCAGACTCGCTGACTGATTTTTAAAGAAAGATTGACAGAAACCTGAGATGGTTTAGAATTTGCACATTTTGGAGAAGGGGGGGTGTATGCCTTTAAACTTCTAAACAGTAGCAATACTTGGAATACTTCGCGTATAGAGAACTTTTTTACATCTAGGTATAGACCTGCGCTTTTGGTGGAGGGGAGGGTTAGGGTTGGGGATTTTTTTGTGTTTTTCTTTTCTTTTTTTTTTTTTTTTTAATATCCTAATAGTTTGGAATTTCTTCCTTTGGGATCATGAAACCTACCTTTTGTGTAAGAAATGAGTTTAAACTGATGCTTGTGTTTCTGGCTATGGACTTCACAAAATAGTTACTCTTGAGAAGCCAGTTTCATAAATTCATAGATAGCTTGCTGGAATATTAACTGTCACATTTCTCATTTTAGGCATGCTTTATAAATGTTCCGCTGGATTTATAAATTTAACTCCAACAGAATTTTGGAAGTGTTAGGGAGTCCGAATGCTGCAGACTGGAGAGGAGCTTGTAGTACTTTCTTTTACTATTAATATGGCTTTCATCTCAGCATTTCAGAAAGAAGAGATATTAAATATGTAGACAGTAGGAAAATGGAAAAAAATGAACTTCATGATTGCATGTGTGTGAAAGAAGAGGAAAATTATTTTTCACTCCATCACTTATTCATAAGTAACAACTGTTCGCATGTCAAAGCAATTTTTCTTCTCTGTTCTACCACTATTTCTGTTTTAAATAAGCATCTAGCAAGTCAGTAAAAATACTCTTCCAAATTGGGTAATGGCTGTTCTTTACCAGGTCTTAGCCACCTGCTGCAATAAAAATAACACTAATGCCACTGGAAGAATTCTTCATGTCAATAGTCAAGAAACTTTGCAATAAAAACCAAGAAGAGTGAGAAGAGTGACAAAGAACAACAAATCATCCATAATAAGCAGATTAACCTATATGTCAGTTATCTCAACTTAGTCTTTCTTCTTTACATATCTGGGCAGAAATTTTTAAATTCACTAAAGAAATCCCAGAGAAAAGCAGGTGGAAGAGCTCACAGATCCACCTCTTTGATCTGTCTACCCCTCCTCAGGAGTAGCTACTTCCTGTTGAGTCTGTGTATAATAACAGACACACAGAATGCTGGTGAATCTTTTTAGTTTCTGGGCTAGTGAGCAGAAGGAAGAGGCACCTTTGCTCTTGTCATGCCACCACAGGCACCAAATGTGCTCCACTTTTGGCTGCAGCTGCACTGGTGTAGCACTTGAATAACTTGCAAATTTTCATCTGAAGTGGAACTTTTGTACTGTGAGGTTTGCCCCAAGTTCCCTCCACTTTCTGAAACCAAGTGGGAAGATGTGTTTACTCCAGAGAAGAAATCAGGAAGTGTTAAAGACATATCTAAGCTTTCTTTCAGTGGATATTCTCGAGGGAAGACCTTACGGAGCTGAGCATTTCTTGTTTCCATGTCACCGTTTTGGGAAGTTTCTATTCCAGAGCTACGCCGAGAAGAAGGAATGGCTGCAAAACAGCAAGCTTAACTTGGCTAACTTCCTGCATGTAATCAAAGGCTATTCTGTGAGCTGCTTGGAAAAACACCTTTGGCCACTATGCAGAAATTCCTTCCTAATAATCTTTTCAGAGCATTAGGCCGGTTGTAGTCAGTTTTGCTCATTACAGTAAAGTATAAAAGGCTTGAGCATTCCACCAGTTGTTCTAATCTAAAAGGAAGGTCACATACACCTGCACAGTTGTCTTTGTATGAAACACACCAAGGTCTAAATGTTTAAAAACAATGGCAGGCAACATAATGCTGGCCAACATAAGTCATCCCAGTGGTTAAGTCTTGTCAGGAAAGAAGAGACTGGGCATTCCTGCATTGACGCTGGACAAGGGTCTGGATTCATGCACTGCATAAAAGATTTCTAAACTCTCAGAGGGTAGGGGGTCAAAGACAGAGAAGGAGACTTGGGAATGGAGGCTGGAGGGTTCTTGGAGCTAAAGCTATGAGGAAAAAAAAGCAGGAAAAATTGAGGATACAGGACTAAAATAATCAAAACAAGAAAGAATGATAGACCTCCTGAAACAACTGGATTTACAATGCTAAACCGAATCTTTTTAAACTTGTTTCTGTGTGCCTTTTTATATAACAAGAGGTTTCATTTCTTGGAAGAAGGCTATAGGTTTTTCAGATAACAAATGTATTCTAACATCATGTGAAAGCTTAAAAAAACCTACTGTATGTAAAGGTTATCATGCTTTGCAGTGTAGTGAAACTGGGAATTTAAATGCAGGAAAAGCAGACAGAAGTATGAGTGTTGATGAAATTACCATTTTAAGATTGGCTGGTGAAGAAAGTAGTATAGTTGGTCACTGTACTCAGTTTTACAATTCTACTGTTTTATAGTTTTACTGTTTCATAAAACAGTTTCTTGCATTATGTTCAGAGGCTATTTTTAATTTAAGACCTAAAAAAAGAACTTCTGTGTTTTGCTAGCCTTTTATATCAAATACTTTAGGATAAATATTGCTAGCTCTTTAGAGTTTCTTTGTTGAAGTGGAAATAAACTGGCAGCACCAAATGAGCCCTTTCAAAGAGCAACTTTTATTTTAATTAAATTCCATGTTGATTCTACAGCTGGAGTTAGAGACTAACTAGAATCTAAAAGCATTTAGAAAAATCTACTTTAAATACTAAGCATACTTTGCCCATTTTCTAGAATAGTCAAAAGAAACAAACATCTAAAACTGGGCTAAATCCTCTTGACATTAATTTCTGTATACTCTGCTTTTCTGTAGCTCAATACTTAATGTATGAAGTCATTCTCAGATGGACTGAAGAGGAAGGCATTGTTTGTGCCATAGTCCCAGAGCTGTCTGAATTAATGCTGCTCTGTATTTCCTCTAGGACTGAGCACATTCAGTTTACATTTATTGAAAATAGATCCTGGGAATGAATTATTTGTTCCTTATATGGAGCCTTGTGTTGAGATACCTGTTGAGACAATTTAGCTCGCTACTAAGTCACTAGGGATAAAAGCACCACTGTTACAAGCAAAATAACAATGTGCAAGAAACTTCTTAAAATTAAATGTGTTACAGTCATTTAGATGGTTCAGAATATTGAGGTCTTGGAAGACTGGAGGAATAAGAGTGGCTCCCCTTTCTTCAGACTTAGTATTTGCATAAAGTCAAAAAGAGAAAGTCTTGCCTCAGAGGGAGCTCTAGATTTAGTGTCTCTCTGGGTTTGTTGTGACCTTATTTAGATCTGAGTTGCAAAATTTATGAATACTCAAAGTAAAAGCAGTATATTACCCTCACGAGTCTTTGTAAATGCTATTTTAAAAGTATTATCTTTTCCTAATATTAAAACAAAAGAATTTTATTAAAATATTGGACATCTTTCTTAATTTATTCTCTCTTTTTAGTGTAAATACTTACTCCCTTAATTGTGATTAATTGATTTTAAAAAATTTCCTCAAAACTTCATCATCTTCTAGTCAGACATTCTCCACCAAAAATGGGATAGACTGGTCTAGAAGTTATCAGGTGCAAAATGCCATTGCTTGGTCTACCAGCATGTGTAGGAATACACATATACAGAAAGTGAAATGGGCTCGTGATTTAAAAGGGAACATTAGGGCACTGCCTTCTTGTGGATAAGCATACTACATGAACAAGTCCCCCTTTTCATCTCCTTGGGCTTTCTCCCTTTTAACTGCACTTCAGACTTCTTGCATTGGACCAAGGAACTATTTTGCAGTATCAGGCCCAGTAATTCTTGGGCAGAAACTCTGCATGAAGGACATAAAATCTTCAATATGATATTGTCTCAAAGTAAAAGACATTGCTTACCTAAATTTTAACCTATAGCAAAGAAACAGAAATTACATAAACTAAAATTTTCAGAAGAGCTTTTCCACATGCTAAGTGCTAGTAGAATGATTTTTAAATGGCTTTAAATAAAAAAAAGAAAAACCCGAAACAGTCAAAACCCTTCCTTCTCCGATTTCAAGGATCACCAAATCATTTAGTTTCTAAAAGACTTCCAAGGTCTTTAAGTCCACCCTTTTGAATGATCACCACCTTGTCAACTAGACCATAGCACAAAGTGCCAGGTCCAGTCACTTCTTGAACACTTTCATGGATGCTGACTCCACCACTTTCCTGAGTAGTCCATCTCAATATTTGGCAACCTTTTAGTGATGAGATTCTTTCTAATGTCCAGCCTAAACCTCCCCTGGTGCAGCTTGAGACTCTGCGCTCTTTTCTTGTCACTGGTTGACTGGGAGAAGAGCCTGACTCCACCTGGCTGCAATCTCCTTTCAGGCAGGCGTAGGGAGTGATAAGGCCACCCCTGAGGCTCCTTTTCTCTATGACAATCACCCCCAACTTCTTCAGCCATTCAGGACTTGTGCTCCAGATCCTTCCTCAGCTCTGTTGCCCTTCTCTGGACCTGCTCCAGCACCTCATGTGTGCTTCCTGAATTGAGAAGCCCAGAATAGGATTTGAGGTGCAACCCCACCAATGCTGAGTACCAGTGCTGATGATCCCTGCCTGGCCCTCCTGGCCACACCATTGCTGATCCAGGCCAGGATGCCATTGGCCTTCTTGGCCACCTGGGCACACCCTGACTGATGTTCAGCTGCTGTCCATCAGCACCCCCTTGTCATTTTCCATTGGGCACTTTCCAGCCGCTCTGTCCCAGCCTGGGACATTGTCTTGGGGCTGTTATGACCCAAGGGCAGGACCCAGCACATGGGTGAACCTCACACCATTGCCCTCAGCCCATGATCCAGCTTGTACAGATCCCTGTGCAAAGCCATCCTTCCCTCCAGCAGATCCGTACTTACACACAACTTGATATCTGTAAATATACTGAGAATGCACTCAACCTCCTCATCCAGATCGTCAGAAAATATATTAAACAGAACTGGCTCCATTACTGGCACCATTTCCCACCACTCTCTGGGCCTGGCCAATCCAGGAAGGTGTGTACCTGTCCACTCCATGGGCTGCCAGCTTTTCCAGGAGAATACTGTGGGAGACAGAATGAAAGATTTGCTGAAGTCCAAGTAGGCTACATCCACAGCCTTTCCCTCATCCATTAGGCAGGTCAGCTGGTCGTAAATGGAGATCAGTTTGGTCATGTGGGACCTGCCTTTCCTAAACCTATTCTGGGCGGCCCTGACCCATTGGTTATTCTGGGTGTGCCAGTGATCGTATCTAAGATGATCTGTTGCATAATCTTGCTGGGTGCTGAGGTCATGCTGACAGGCTATAGTTGCCTGGATCCGAGTTCCAGCCCTTTGTGTGGATGGACATCACACTGGCCAACTTCCAGTCATCTCTGACATCCCCAGACCTCCCTGATTAGCCAGAACTGACTAAGAAGTCAGAGTCCAGATTAATGTGTGATGGCAAGAGAGCTGAACATACAAGGGGACAGCTTAAATATGCCAAAATCCGTAGCTTCTGCTTGTGTGCTATAGAGATGGGGTGGGGATGGGAACTGGGAATGGGAAACTGGCCTTTCAGTAGGATCCATGCTGTGCTGGTGTACCCTTATTTCAGCAGCACAGCCAAAGCAGTCCTAGGAAGAGGAAAGTACAGCTAACTGGACAGCAGTTTCCTTGGGTGCCAATTTTCTCTGAACTTCTCAGCCTTTATCAATTATAATTGAGGATCTGCAGAAAGTATGGAGGCAAACAAAAGGCTGAGATGGCTAAGCAACACTATAATGGTTCCTGTTGTAATGACTGTTATTCTTTTAAAAAGCTCAGGTACAATACCTGCTTCCTCTTACTTATTTCCCTAGTGATTGCATTTAGCAAGCTGGGAAAAATGAGCTGGACTATATTTTTTTTCTTTAAAAAAAATTCAAAATTTGGTTTAAAATTTGGTTCCAACTGATACTTAAATTCTTAGTGTCATGGTTTGACACTGGCACAATGCCAGCGCCCCCATGAAAATGCAATCTCTCGATTGCTGTGAAATGTGATTGTGAACAGAGAAAAGCAGGCCCAAGCTTAATGACAAAGAAAAAAAACTTTATTAAGCTACTACTACTATACTATTATAAAAGGAAAAAGAAAGAAAAAACACACACAAAATTCAAAATTAAAACCTTCCTAAGCATTCCTCCTTCTACCACCCAACTCCAACAAACTACAGCAAGACACAATCTGGACCCCAATCAGGTTTCCACCCTCCAGACAATCGATACTCAGTCCATCGAGAGAGAGAGGAGCCCCTCCTGTGCCACAGACGCCCCAAGAAACACAGCTGCCACATCCTGTGTTTCTGTGTTGCTCATGGCACCGCCCGGAGAAAAAGTTTGCAATGGTGGCCCTCTCCTTTCCATGCTTGGTGCTCTCACCACCAATGCATGGATGGACAGACTGCTTTTAGGATTTTTCCTTTCAAGGATGCCCTGCCAAGAGGGGAAAAATCAACAGTTCAGTTTTTCATTTTTGAGACCACAGTCCCCCCCATTTTTCCCCTGGGGCCGAGGGTCGAACAGAGATCTTCTTCTCTGAAGACAGGGGGCACCACCACAAACCTCCTTAACTTTTCTCTGTTCATTCCACTTCTGTCATTTCCCAGCTGAAGCAGATCTCTTTGGCTCACCGGCATCCTCCTAAAATACAGTCTCTCTTGGAGGAGAAAATCGGTTCAGTCTGTGGCTACCAAGAAAAAGTCCAGCCAAAAGCCACTCCATCATCTCCTCCCACCTAGAATTTCTCCTTCCAACATCCCAGGGTCCAAGCTGTCTCTCTTCCTCTCTTTCAAACAGAGGAGGAGAAAAATTTCACAAAGCTTTCATTTCTCAGGAAGGGTTAAAAGTCCCGACTCCCTGGCTGGCTCATTGCCCAGGCTCCAGCTCCCACAGGCATCTGGGCACCTTGCGGCCCCCCCACTCTTCTCCTTCCCGTGGTGAACTGCTGACAAACCACTGCTGTCTCTTTCTCTCGAAAGAGAGAGAGACTCTGGGGGTGGGGAATGGAGACATCCCAAATTTCTTCACCCTTCCATCTGTAGGGGGCCAGCCCGGTTCCAGCCCCCTCCACCCTTGGGCCTACTTCAGTCAGGCCACGGGCCTTCCTCTCCCCCACCCAGCCACGGGCCAGGCAGGGGAGAGTCTGCACTGCACACTGACTGGAACCAAAGAAAGCGAGTTCTCCTGGGAATTCTGCTTTTAACCCCTCTGTGTTCTCAGAGGCGTGTCCACCTTCAATTGGTCAATATTCAAATTGACATTTTCTGCCGGGTGCTCTCTTCTCCCCTCTGCTTTCCCTTGCCCTGGCTAGCCCTGGGGAGAAGGGGAGCGGGCAGATCTCCAGCGCTTCCCGCTGAGTCCTCACGGGTTTTGGGCAGCACTGTGTGGGTTTGGAGAGCAATCAGCGAACCCCACGGCGGTTTAATGAAGAGAGTCTTTCTCCGGGGGGCGAATTCCGTTTTATTGCAATCCAACAGGGAAAACAATAATCTGAAGGGAACCAGGCGGGCCGTGCCGGTGTTCGTCTGAGCCGCGCGGACAGGCAGGGCGGGGCGCGCTGGAGCCGGCTGAGAGAAAAGCCCTGGGGGTGGCTTGGGCGGGCGGCGGCGCGCGCTGGTGCCAGCCAGGAGAAAGGTCTGAGCGCACTGTGCGCACGGACTAAGTACGGGACAGGGGGAAACTGGGGCAGCCAATGGGGTAACGCCATGGGGGGTTTGAGGGTAGTGGGGTACGGGGGTACATCCAATGAAGGACGGACAGGTGGAGGGTCCCAGGTCGTCTGTCTATCGCCCGGCGTCCCGGGTGGAAGATTCCAGGTGTGGGGGAGGGATACTGAGTGACAGACAGGCATTTGGGGAAAACACAGTGACTTGGCATTTCTTGGGGACAACAGACCCGCGGGGAGAGACGGGAAGACCCAGGGGGAACCGTTACAGGACCAGGGGTACATGGACCAAACTTATACATAATGCAAATGTAATAAAACCTAAAAAACACAGCTCTACACTTTTCCTTCCGAGAAAAATTCTTTTTCCGTGTCAAACCACGACACTTAGTTTACTGGGACTGAAACACCCCATCAAGATTTACAGACAACTCTTTTCTTGGGTTGTATCAGAGACAGACTTACAAGGTAGTGTTCTATGTACAAGGGCTTCTGTATAGTTAAGACACCCTTTGAAATTAAGAGACCAAGGTTTTTCTGTCTGACAAAAGAATTACACTGTGCTGTCTTGTCATTTATTTGGTCAGAAAGGACTGTATGCTGAGGAATAGTTAATAAAGATCAAATCAAGGGTATAACATTTTGAAGGGTTGTTTTCCCAATTTCTTTTTCCAAACCTAGATTGTGTCTTATATATGTAAAATCTGGGCCTTTGTCCCAAAACTATAGAAAGTATTTGAAATTTTGCAGCCCAAGTGCTAATTAGAGTGCAGTGTACTTAGATCTATCCCTGCAACACTGACTGAGCTGTGGAATACTGCATCTGTTCAGAGCAGTCAACTTTCAAGGTTAAACACAGCTTACTGAAATATATCTTGAGCAACATTGATATACTTGCACTTGTATTTTGTATCCCACCTCAAAGTGTTATCATTATCTGGTTGTCTGCTTCTATCCCTTCTTTTTCTTTCCCTTCTTCCTTTGACTGTACTTTGCTGCTGCCAGTCCATTGTAGACTCTGTCCCTATTAAAGAGACAAAATGGGTAAATTTTCCAAACACTTGCTTTTCCTTCTTCCTATTCTTCCTGTCCCGCAGTCTTGGAAATTGTACTGGAGGTAATATGTCAAGCTAAGCCTTGTAATCAAATTCAGAAGATAGAGATAAGCTATGGTTAGAGCCTGCAGTAAAATTTTGTCAGAGAAACTGATACTTCTTTTTACTTCACTACCTTCAAAGACTTCAGTGGAATCCCTTTCTTAGAGCAGGGATTTAGGTTTTTTTCTACTGGTCTGTGACT